GGGTTGTGGAGCATTACATAGTATATTTACATTACAGTCAATTTACTTGAGAAATTTTGGTATTTTTATTTTTTTCTCCAAAACATATAATTGCTTATATTTTTTTAATTTTGTGAATAAAACTTTTTATTTTTGTCATTGTAAGTTTCTTCATTTCTTTTTTCTTAAATGTCTTCCGGTAGTTCAAACATCCTAAGAGTACAAACATCTTTACATTCCTATGATTGTTGAGAATTTGAACTATCAAGAAACATTTAAGAAAAAAATGAAGAAATTCAAAATGACCAAAATAAAAGGTTACATTCAGAAAATAACAAAAAATCTAAGAAATTTAGATGTTTCTTAGAACAAAATAAAAATACCAAAATTTCCCAAGTAAAATTGACCGAAAATGTTAAAAAACATATAGTGAAAAATTGCTCAAACAAACCCTTATATTTATAGGCTTTAGCAGGGGTATTTCTGTCAGATTTTAGAAAAAAATGTAACAATAAGGGAGGTTTTGTATTTATGAGTAGTACATGGGGGTATATGATACAAAGTCCATAGTATAGAGGTATTTTTTTATTTAACCCTATTTATTTTGATCAAATATGACGGCCAATAATATATTCTATATATGAAATAAATTTCATCTACATAATGAGAAAATATTAATGAAGAAATCAAACTTGATTTTTCTAGATTTGGTTTTGAGTAAAACTTCAAAAGGTCAATTTGGCACATTTTTACTTATGACAATATTGGTGGGTTCATGTCAATTTTTCTCTATAATTATATACACATAAAATGTGACCTTTTATTTTTTTTCCCTCTACATACATACAGTCGGGTTGTTGCAAGCCACCAAGCTACTGTGGGTTAGAGTTCAAGAACGCAACATATTGGACGATGCCTAAAACAGATCCAGGAGTGCCCGACCCGGATTGCAAGACATGGAGCAACGTCCAGAAAGAGCTTTGCATTGAATGTGATTCGTGCAAAGCGGCTGTTCTCTACAACATAAAGAGAGAATGGAGGCTACTCGTTCTCATCAACATATGCATTCTTGTTGTTGTTGTGTTCGTCTACTCAGTTGGCTGTTGTGCTCTCCGTAACAACCGCAATGGCTATGTGAAGCACAGAGGACATGTGTGAATCTACTTGTTTGTTTCTTTAGTATGCTCTATTTATTTTAATATATAAGCTTCTTTAGAGAAAACTTTAAATAGATTGATATGATAGAATCTAACAATAGTTGTAATTGCACTTATTCGAATATCTGCCGATTTTAAACCCTATGCTTGTATTGTTGTAATTTACGTGAAGCAATTATAGTCTATAGATGTATTAGTTCGTAACTTAAGTGATATTTTCAAATTTATTTTTGCTCTTGAGTATATATTTCATCTCATATATCAATGAAGGGATGGCTACAAACCCAAAAAAGGTAAGGTATCATAAGACTAGAGAGCAAATTGCAAGAAACCTCTGAGGTAATGTCTAATTACAAAAATACCCATGATATATGATACCCTCTTACACAGTCTTATGCGGTGTTACTATTAACATAATTTTTTTTATTCCATGGAATATTCCTTTGAAAATATTATTTTTTCCCTTTAACATGTGATACATGTAAGCATATTAATTACTTGGGGAGCTAAATCGTAAAATATTTAAAAAATATAGTTATTTTTAATTTTAAAACTAAATATATATAAAAAATAATAAAATATATCTTGTAATATTAAATATATTTTTTTTGTAATTTTTTTTTTACATTTTTTTTTAATTTTTATTCAATGAAATCGATTTTACATATTTTTTATTATATGAAATTAATTTTATGTTACAAATATTTCATATTATTAAATATTTTTTTAATAACTCGAACAAGCTTCTTGCATAACTCTCTGCAAACATACATTGGGAGGTTTTATAATATCGCATATGGGGGGCGGGGTTGGGTTTCATAATTTGACATTACCTCATGGAGGTGTTCCTAATTTTATCCTTTGTTGTTTTTCTCAAATAACAGAAGGGTAAAATGGACAAAATACATTTTATGTGAGTTTAAACGGTCAAACGCAGGTCATAAGGAGATCTTTATAATTACACAAACATAAGGGGACTTTTCTTAGTAAAACCTTACCTCAGGGGTTTTCTCGTAATTTGGCCAAGAATAAATCATTTTTTTTTCTATTAATACCCTTGTGAAAATACTATAACACTCTCAAAGAAACACAAACACGCAAGCCCACTAAAACACAAGACCACAAAAAATACTATGTGCAAGATCACCACTTTCAAACACTCCAATTTAAGGGAAAATTAGCAAGAACCCGCCCCCCAATTTAGTAAATGTAGTTAAAAAAAACCCCTCTAAAAAATAATTAGAGAAAACCCCCTTAGCTAAGTAACTGTGATTTCGTGCATAGTATTTTGTTTTATGATCACATGGTAAATCCTAGTCCTTTTTTATGATGCGCTGCTACTTGATGTAAAACTAGTCCGATTTGGTATTCACAAGACGTTCTGGAAAGGGGGGAATGTAATGTTTTTGGAGCTGCTCTGATAGAGCAGTGCATGCTCTGTTCAGCTATATAAATACGTAGTCGATTTAATATGATCATTGTCGATTAATGTGTTTTTATTGTACATGTGCATATCATACATAGGGTTTTGATGAGGTTGGGAGGTTTAATTGCAATCAAAAGATGTTCGGAGGCTTTTACTTGGTAAGAACTGGTGGATTTTGTGATTCTTAAATGGAAACAGTTGGACAAACGTAATATTAAGTTAACGTATATTCTTGCTGATTATAGTGAGTGTCTTCTATCGGACGATGATGACCTGGTTTCAATGTTTGAGAATTGTTGTCGTTAGAGCATATGGAGGCTATTGTGAAAGAGAATAATCGTGCTCTTGTGGGTGCAAATCCTTCATGTGCTGACCAGGCTTGTGACACCCCTTTTCTAATTACACTTACTTAGTAATTTATAATATGCTTGTGGAAGACTTTTAGAAAATAATGAGTGTGGAATGCTCGTTTTAAAAATCACCTTCTACAAATAGAAAGTTACGCATAAATTTTTCTTTTCAAATCAGAGGAAGAGTGTCCACATATTACCATATCATATAAACTTAAGCAACTATCACAAAGGAGGCATGCATTACTAGTAATTTAAATTATCAAGAGTAAAGAGAGAAATTTCAGACAGATTGGATGAATCAACTTCAAAAATTAATTTATCTAAAAAAATTAGTGAAAAGACTTTGAAAATTTGACCACATACTCTCGTATGGGTCTAAATCACTGCTTTAAAACAATTTTAAAATATCATAAGCCATTTGAGATAAATAATTAAAGACATGCAATACAATTTGAAATTCCAGAACAGGGGAGGGTGCTTTCAAAATTCTTTATAAATTCCCTATTGTCTATAATATACTCAAAGTCTATACCAGAGCACATTAGTGAGTTAGGAGTCCATTCGAAGTGGAATAAATCCATTTGAGTGAGAAAACCTTCGTATTTTATTGTAAATACTACAACGACTCTGTTTTAGAGCAGTTTTGGGAAACAATTCGTAATTAATTCATGGCTTATCCAAATAAATGAAAAGACCAATTAAAATGAACCTAACTAGAGAGAACTAGGATTCTGTAAAATGTCATGCAGTAATGTATTGAAGAGCTAATTAACACGAATTATAAAACTACTAGACATAACATAACTAACCGACGGACATTTTATAAGGTTTTTAGGAAAACTTGCCCTAAGGCTACATAAGTTTTTAAGGAAATACCATAACATATATCAAAAGAGGTAATTTTACTCCTAAGTAATATTGCATATTATGCATTAATAGCAAGTTCCTCCAATAGGCGGGAGAGAACGATAATAAACACCTAAAACGGTGTCGAATATCCTTAATAGCAAATTGTACAAATAAAATCACATTAATACATTAAGAGAACCCAAAATCCACGATGCCTCCATATGAACTATTCTCCCGATCCACGAACTCAACTTCAACCACGAACCTCGGGCTCGAAATCCGGTAATCCTACAAGCAATTCAACACCTATATGAGTCTTTGAGACACAATGAGAATTCCATAGAATATCAAGTACAATTAGACAAGGAATCATATAATCATACATATAAATACGTATACAAGTATACATATACCTTAATCACCATTTCTTTAAGAAAAATTACCGATTTACCTTTACCTTCTCGGTTTACCTCTTAGACCTTTTCGATTTACCGCTTAGACTTTTTTTTCATCATTTCATAAGGAATAAGAGTAGGCATACATAAAAGCACCATTCATCCATACATTCATTCAAGTGTTCATACAACGTGTGAGAAAATCATTTTCTTTAGTCGGATATCGTTTGAAAAAACAAACAAAACATTACACAATAAGCCTTAACTTATTTGGAACCCGATTCATAAGTGGAATCAAACCACACACTCTTCATCTCATTTTTGGGGTACCGGCCCCTCATACCCCATGCTTATTCGATCTAAGTTTTACAAAATTTTCTAATTTTGAAAACATGCAAGTGAGGTTAGTACATACTTTTAATTTCACATATTCAAAGTTAGCTTACACATAAGCATATTAGTACACATATTTGCACATATTTCACAAAGTCACATAGTTTAGTCACAAAATCACAAAATCATAAAATCACAAAATCGAGTAAGAGATATAACAACTCAAGCAAAGAGCATAGATCACATATTTTACACATATAGCAAAAGTAGCTCGAAGCATTCGGTTATTTATAGTTACTACCTCCAAGTTTCATTAATTAAAGTTCAAGCCCTCTTTCTCAAGAGACTTGAAGTTTTCTTTCAAATAGCATCAAATTTACATTTATTTCATTTTCTTTCTAGATCTTCACATGCAAGATAAAATTAAGAGTTTTTAATACTCATTCTCGTAATTACTACATGCATTAGCAATTTAAACAATTTCATCAAAGTCTTTCCAAAATATTCGAACCATCAACAATTCCATCTCACAAAATTCAATTTTTATTAATCTTGTTCTCGGTTTTTATCTTTTCGTATATTATTTTATTACTCATAGATCATAAACCATGGATTGCAAGTTTCCTTGACCCGAAGGGAGTACACTTACAACCACATAGGTAGATACATATACGCACATAAACATATACTTAAATATAGCACATATAGATTATAAATAAACCATGGATCAAGTACTTTCTTCTACCACGCAGATTTACGAAAACCATGGATCGAAGTTTCCTTAAGATCACGTAGGTCTAGTATGTATATATACATACATAAAAATTAAATTATCATATTATTCTTAGTTCTTCAAGATTATATCATTTAAAGCTTAGATTCTTACATGCATGGATGATCTAACAATAAACAAGTAAAGTATTATAACTTCCCAAATTTTTGGCCATTAAGAACAAAGAAGGAGAAAAAAAAAAGAAATAATATTGGTGAAGAATCACTTGTAGCAAGAATATGGAATTCTCACCTAATTTCTCTTGGGAATATGAAGGAATTGGTGGATTTAATAACCCACTAAGAACCTTGAAGAAATTATATAAAAAAAATTAGAAGAAAACATTAGGGAATTTTCGAAATTGAAAAGAAAGAAGAAAAATGAGAGCTTTCTTACACTTATAGTTAAAGAAACTTCTTTTTGGAAATGAGGAGACATTTTGAGCTTCCTACACTAATAATTTCGATATGGAGGAGAAGAAGGAAGAAGGATATTTTCTTAAGATCTTTAAGATATGGTGGAGAAGATGAAAATTCACTTGGGTGTTTGGTTCTATTTAAAGAGTTTTGCAAGCATTTGGGGGTTTTCTTGGAATTTCCTCTTTAGGTGGCTTGGATTGGAGATGGTTTTATGGCTTGAGCTTGAGTTAAAATGGAGTCTTGGTGAGGGGATGGTGGTGATGGCCGAAATTAGAGAGGGGAAGAAGAGAGAGAGTGGATTTCAAATTTCGAGAGAGAGAGAGAGAGTTGAATTGAAAGGTAAAGTGAAGTACCATTCTCAATGAATAAAGTACAAGCCACTTAAGCCTTCAATTCTCCCAATTAATGAGTCTTTATACATTAAAGAATTATACACATGGAAAATAGAATCTAT